AGATTGAAAATTATTTTATAAAGTGACCTTGCTATTTATGGCACTTGGCCGAAGAGAGGTTACTTTGGAATTAACGAGATTACTCTAGCCAAAGTAGTTCGTTCTTTAATTGTCCATATGTTACATTGGCAAGTTACATCTTTTATGCAGATAAAAATCTTTTAACATATTTTAGCCAATATGGGGTATTGGCCCAAGTGGCTTCCTTTCTTACCATTTGGCTTTTAGCTTTTCTTCTTTTCTCTTTTTGCATGTATTCTTCTTCATGTAAAATTTGTTAGAAAAATGTGAGAATATGATATAATTATTCATGTTTATTTTAAAATCTTATTCTTTACGTATAAAGTTACATGAATTCATATATCCAGATATTCGAAGTACCAAATCTAATTCTGTCATTAATTACTTATTCATCAAACTAGTTTTGAAAACTTTTTAAAATGCTATCATTATTATGGATGTTATAGTAAAATATATTCTTTATTTATTACTACCTTTTAAGGGAAGTGCAAAGTCCATTGTACATAAAATATTTTAGTTTGGAAAAGTGCGGGCTCTTCCGAGTGCTTCTCCGCCTCTTCAACATATTATATTAATAATTAATAAACAGGAATGAGAGGTGTATCCGGTTAAGAAAAAGAGCAGCATCCGGTTCCAAACGGGTCAGAAAAGTGATTTTGTAAATATAATAATAGTAAATAATTTCCATTGGCTGATAAAGGCAGTTTCTGTAGCTGCCTGACAACTTATATCTCTAATGGGCAATCTTACCCTTTTGATTACGTCATTTACTTTTTCTGGCATCCAAAATCATTCACCGGGCTCTTGGCTACTGTGAAAATCCTTGATAGTCCAGTTGCTCCGTTACTTTGTTATTTATCTTTTCTCTTCCTAACTTTTCAAAACATGGGATTTCCTAGCCACTAATAATCATAGCATTAGATTCAATTAAGAAAATGAAACTGAATGGCCTTGGAAGCATCTATGCTTAATTTGAATTAAGTTTTGTTTAAATAAAATTAATATGGAAATTTATAAGGCAGAGGGAGTACTTTGATGTTGTATTGTATATTTGTATTCTTATCAAATATCTAAATTAGATCTTTTACTAAAATATACACTTAAAGCCCGTTTGGACATAATAATATTTTTACTTTTTTTTTCGAAATTTTTTCACTTTTTTCGAAATCAGTACTTGGCCAAAAAAATTCAATTTTCACTTGAGATAAATTTGAAATTTTTCAAAAATTTGAAAAACTCGAAAAGATTATTTTTCAGAATTTTTATTCAGATCACTCAAAAAATTCAAAAACAACCCAAAATTATATTCATGTCCAAACACAACTCTAATTTTGAAATACCATTTTCACGTGATTTTTTTTTTTTTTTGAATTTTACAATTCTTATGTCCAAACGCCCACTTAATGAAACTCAAATATGTACATAAAGAAATTTAACTCTAAAAAATATTATATATATTAGTGTGATTATATAATCGTATTAAGATTAAATTAGGAAGTCTAAAGTTAGTTTTCTTTTATATCATAAGATTAAATTGAGAAGTATAAAGTTAGTTTTCTTTAAAGAAAAATATCATAATGTTTCATACAAAGTGAATAAGAAAGAGTATTACATAAAAGGGAACGTGGTTAAAAAAATTCAATTCTTTGGTATGCTTAATTTGGATTGAGTTTGCTTCAACACAATTAACATGGAAAATTTATAAGGTGGAGGGAAAAGTAGTTGTCTTATATTCTGATCAAACATATAAATTAGATATCTTACTAAAATATACACTTAATGTGATTAAGATATGTAAGTAAAGAAATTTGTGTCCAAAAATATTTTATATATATATATATATATGTTGGTATTTTAATAAACATATTAAGGCTAAATTGAAAACTTTAAAATTAATTTTCTTCTAAAGAAAAATGGCATTATATTTGGTACAAAATCAATAAAAAAAATGTATCACATAAAAAGGGGGCGTGGTAAACTTTTTCAATTCTTTGGTATTCATTCTGAATAAATGTCTGCAAACATTAGTATAGAATTCTTCATTGTTTTATTCTACATGATATCTTTAATTACGAGAAATTTTATTTGTCGTATACTATAATTTAGTTATAGCGATATGATATTGTTGAAATTTTAATAATTCTTTTTAAATAAAAGGTGGTCTGGAAAAGGCAAAGATAAATTACTAAGTAAACTTTTTTTTTTCATTTCTAACTAATTTATTTACTTATGATCATGTATATCGCATTCATATGTTTGGAAATTTAATTTAATGGTCTTAAAAGATGGTATTGTTTAGCTAAAAATGTTCGACGAGAAGAGCATAAAAGTCACATTTAAATATATTATAATAAAGTTTATTTATGAAATGAAAACATTGTTACAATATAATGTACAAAGATTTGACAAAATTTTATATATCCATATTTTTTTTCTGTGTTTTCTCATTATATAAAAAATATTATTATGGTGTGTACAATAAACTTATAAGATGTAGTTGCCACCTTTTCAATATCAGATTATCTAATCAACTTATTTTGCTTACTATATTCTCTTAAATAAAAATTAGAAAACTACAAAATTTAACAGGTCAAATAGGATAAACATGCCAAGGCTCAGTTGGATTTGAAAGCTTGGTATACAAGTATTCTAAACGAAATCTACCTAGAAAAAAAGATTATTCATTTCAATAAAAGTCAAAAATAAGAAAACAATTATTTTTCCAGCTTTCAGTTACTCTTGCAAGCTTTAATTTTTAAATTGGGCCCGGGCTTTGCACGGGCTACAAATAACTAGTTACTCTGCACTTTCAAACATTTTAAATAATTTAGGAATTTTTACGTCCTGTAGTAAAGGTTGATACCTTATTTATTTTAAATAAATATCCTTTTAAAAAATTATATTCTATAGCTACCTTTTGATTTTTATAGCCAAATATCTATTTATGGTCACCTCCTACACTTAAGCCATAAAATATGCTTATTATTTTTCTCTCTCATTCTTCAGATTTTTCTCCACCCTCTCTCTCTAACGCCAGTCTTTCTCCATGAATACAACCATGATTCCCCACTGATTCATCTCCATTGTCGAACGAATTTTTCATTGTCAGTGGCATGGGGCTTTGAATCAACGTCGAAATCAAACCATATCTTCAATTTCGTGAACTATACTTTCAGGCTGCCCCTCGACGACGACCTTTGTTAAACCAGGTATCGACAAAGACTCATTAATGGGCGTGGCTAAACTGACAAAGTCGAGGTTCTAAGTATGATTCGGGCTCGTGGAATCATAAAATCTTTCCCTAGATGGTTCTTTATCCCCTTGTTGTCTTTACTTGCTCAGATTCAAATTATTCAAGCTAGTTAATTCCAAACATTGTATCATTAAACTCTATTGGTAAAATACAACCATGATACATGGCTAACGTGATGGATGACTCGTGGCAAGTATCTCCTAGTGGGGTGTCTAGACATCATTAACCCTTATAGCTAGTGGTGATTCAGGGTTTTTGCTCGACGGCAGTTTCGCCGGAAATTAGGGTTTGTTCTTGAACAAAGACGACGGAGTTTGGGGTTGAGCAACTTGATTTTGATGTTAATATATTTCAATGTATTTTCAACGTATCACGCTGTATTTTCATGTATTTCATTGTATTTTTTTTTCATTGTAATTCAATGTATCTCGATGTATTCCATGTATTTCATTGTATTCACTGTCTTTTATTTCATTGTATTTGAATGTATCCTGTTGTATTCTGTGTATTTCATTGTATTTACTGTCCTTCTATATGCCATGAATGTATTCATATGTTTTTTTTAATTAATATAATTTATGTATTCAGATGTATTATATAATTTTTCTGAAGATTGCTATATTTTTGAGGCATTTTTCGGGTGAGAATCTTTTTTTGTAACTGAAAATACAAAATTTGTGTGTTGTAATTGAGTTTGTTAAGTTATATTAGGAGTCTATTATGTTAATTGACTCACTTTCCGCTTAAAAACAGTGTAATCCCCTGTTTCACGCCGTGAATACAGTCGAATACAATAATTTGCCTAGCTGTAATCCAATGTTTCACGCCATGAATACAATCGAATACAACAACTGATTAGCTGGACTTTCCTGATTCACGCCTATTTTTGCTATTGTATTCATGAATACAGTAGCTTAAATACATTTAATACATCTTATAACAACAGAAAACGTATCTACAATCCGTAATATAGCAAATGATATCTATCGATAGCTAATTATCACTAAAAGATAGTGCTTTATGAAATTTTCTCTTAAATTTATGCATTATAACAACAGAGTCTCAAAAAATTAAAAAAGGAACAACAGAGTCTCTACGTTAGTTACAGTCTATTAAATTATATAGTTCCAGATTGAAGTCACAATGAATTCTTAAACTTATTTTACCAATTTTACCCTTTTGTTAATAAAGTTTCTCCTTTGAAGAGTTTAAGTTATTGATGTACACAATCAAATAATTTATTAGATAATTACAGATAAATATTTTGATAAAATAATACGTAATTAATAATCAGTGGCGGATCACATGGGCATCTGTGGGTGTTCAAGCACCCATTAACTTTGATCATATTTTGTAAAGTTGCATAGATAATTATAAAATATTTAGATAAATATTAAGTAAACACTCATAACTAAACATATTTTTCCTATTCTTTTGGAATTTCGAGCATTCATGACTTTAAAAATGTGAATCAACCATTGTTAATAATAAAAATAGAAATTCACATGCTATCACATGTTATAATTTGACTTGGTTTTCTACTTCACTCGCAAGTTTATACGAACTGTTTAAGGGGTGATGGTGGAATATATCACCAAATCCAGTTCCATCATCAAGATATTACGAAAAGTTAAGGAAGGGGATCTGTAGAATTAATTAAAAGATGGAGGGCAAAAACGTAAAATAGGGAGATGTTCCACGTGTCTTATCGTGAAACGCCATCTCCGGGTGCTCTATTCACGAGATTCCTCAACGCACCGGTCGCAGCCTTTCAGCTCACCCCCTTCATCTTCCCAAAAGCCCTCAAATAAATTTCTCTCTCTCTCTCTTCAATTGTAATCACGTTGTTCATCCATTCCACATGTTTACAGTCAAATCAAATCAGTTCATGGGTTCATCATTGCGTCAATCTCTTTTAAAGACAGTGCGATATTGATGGAAGTTAATCAGTCAACTCAGTACGCAAAGTTTCACTTTCATCCGTTGGAATTCTTCGTGACTTTGAATTTTAGTTCCCGCTCCCTTCTCTATCGCGAATCTGATGGCACAGTGTCGTTTGCTTCTGTTCCTTGCTGCGTTTTTCTCCATTTTCGGACTCCTCCATGCCAGTGCCGGCGATGCGGATCCGGTTTACAGGTAAGCTCCGCTTTACTCATATTTACTATTTTGACCTGCTCTTATTAATTTAAGTATTGCAATTTCTATATCCGGTTCATTTTCAGTTCTAGTTAATTCGTGGTAAATAATTTAATTTATAAGCGCTTTTTTTTTTGTTGAGATTTAATGGTTGACATTGCTTGATTTACAGCTAGAATAAATGGAAGCAATTGAATGCTAGTTTTTGCCTCGTTTTTTTGTATATTTTCTGATATTTCTGTTCAATTTGATTTCTGGAAAGTGGAATCAACTGATGAGCCTTTGTCAAGTAGAGGTGAAGGTCATAATTTACTTGATTTAGTGTGAGCTTGTACATACAAAATGCAAGATGAAGAGACATCTTCTGTTGTCTATCGAGGTTAAAAGCTAGTAATTTGTAAGAGAGTAGAAATTTAGCTCTATCCAGTGGCATGAAGCTACCTGTTCTTGGTTGTACCGTGCAAGTTTCATGTTCCTCCTTCAAATGAATGGACTTAGATTTTTTTCGATCTGCTTAAGTGTTGGTGAATAGAGTTATCTGATACCTTTAATGATGGTGTTCACTTTACCTTTGCTAATTTAATTTTTTTATAAAGTTAATTAGACAACCAAGCATCTGAGAATTTGCACAAAAAAAATTCTATTTTTAGTCAGTTCAACTTTTGTGAAGATCCATATTTCGTTTTTCTCATCTATTTGGTTTGATTAATAAATTTAGGGAGTCCTGTAGTTGCATTTTATCACAGTTCTTATTGATGGATGATGCATTTATATAATGGACTTGCAAGAAAAAAAATTGTAGAGAAAATTGATGTCCATGAGTTGCTTTAGGCTGCCTGTATTTATTAATTACAGGAGGCATTATTATGTCCTCCGGGACTATGGTTGGTGATCTTCACTCCTAATGAAAGCTCCACTGAGGATACCTAGTTAATGCCCCTTCAATTGCCCATCCTCCATCCCCACATGAAAAAGAGGCATTATCTGGTATCGGGAATTGTCTAAAAGTCTAGAGTAAACTTGAAGTAGATATTGCATTCCAAATTCTTTAAAATTTTTGTTGGATTGAAGACAACTTTAATACGTTAAGGTTCAACGGTCAGATGCCTGTGTAATCCTGACAACTGCAGCTTCTTGCCTCTGTACTGAAACCTAACTTGATGCAAATCATTGCTCTCTCTATTTCTAAGTTCTTTGGTTCAATGTAAGTTTACTAATTGTGACATACTTCCAATAGCCCAATAAACCAGGCTACCGTGGGTTATGCTGTTAAATGGGGCCAAATTAAAGTGAAGGAAGCCCTAGATGCTGCAAAGCTCATTTACGATCCACAATCAGTGAAGAACTGAGACTCCACATATGTTTTTGACAGACAAGTGAGGTCGGATCTGGTAGACTCTTTTTGGATGTGGAACACAATAAAGGACTATATATACTCTCGAGCCATATATACATGTAACCAATAGTTGCTCTAATTTCGGAATCATATTGTTCTTTAAACTTTCCAACAGGGAACAGGGAATACATGAAGTAATGCATGTGTACTCTTTTAGAAACCTTAATCCTCTAGCCTGCTTTTCCATGTCGAAGTCTACCTTCTGGGGTCTTAGGCAGCACCTGGCTTTACTAATTTGCATGCTTTACGGGCTGAATCCCGGAAGAAATTCGAATATCTATTGTTAATCTGCAACACGTTTTTTGATGTTATGTTCACTTCATGCCCTTTAATATTTGAAATTGCTGGTTTTACAGAGCTTGTGTTGATCAGTGTGAGAAGACTGGTTGCGTGGGGGACAAATGCTCTCAACACTGTAATTTTACTTCTGGTGGGAGTCCCATTGATGGTCCATGGTATCTGCAGGAACCACTTTATTTGAGATGGAAGCAATGGGACTGCCTTAGTGATTGTCGTTACCACTGCATGCTTTCCAGAGAGGAAGAGCGGAAGAAACTTGGTCTTAAGCCTGTCAAATATCATGGAAAATGGCCTTTTCAGCGTGTCAATGGAATCCAGGTTCTTCACACTACTAAGCATTTCCTCCTTCTTAAGCAGGCTAATTTAAGCTGTATTATGGTTAGTATCATAAACAAAGTCTTTCATTCCAGGAACCTGTTTCTGTAGCTCTTTCGGCTCTTAACCTTGCTGTACAATTCCATGGATGGGTATCCTTTTTCATTTTGGTGAATTACAAGCTGCCCTTTAGGCCAAACAAAAAGCCATATTATGAGTATACTGGCCTGTGGCATATATATGCTATTTTTTCACTGAACTCCTGGTTTTGGAGTGCTGTTTTCCATAGTAGGTGAGAGATTGTTTACTTCTCTTTTTTGTAGTTCTCTCTTTCTTTCAAGTAGCTTGAAACTGTCTTCTGAATATATATAGTTTCTCCTTCTTGGTTGTTGGCTTCTCATCAATATATGATTCAGGCTTTTTCTGGCATTGTCATGGATAATTGTGCTAACATTTTGGATTTGTAATATATGTCCTGGGATGCATATATATACAGAACTTTCAGATGCAAGACAACATAACCTTCAATATGAGTTTGTCAATTTCTCAATTTTTTGGGCGTTTGCCACAGAGATCATATGAGCACCACCAACAACAACAACCCAGTGGGATCCCACAAGTGGGGTCTGGGGAGGATAGTGTATACACAGACCTTACCCCTGCTCCGGAGGAGTAGAGAGCCTGTTTTCGATAAGATCATATGAGCACCACGGCTGCAAATTATTATGTTGGTGTCTGAGGAGTGAGGACATTTTATGTTTCTCTAGCTTCTCCTTATGAGTGGAATTGTTAAGGGCTTAGTGGAGAACACTGTTTGGTGTATGTAAAACTAGTTATTTGCAAATCTCTTACTGTTTAATTCTGGGTGTTGTTTGAGGCCACTACTTCTTCAGTAATTGTGCTGAAACTTAGATTAGCTTCTAATTACGGTAAACCAAGTTGGATTATTATAAAACTATTTCTTCTGGGGCAGCGCCTGTGGAAATNATAATGCTACCAACTGCACTGGCATAAGGAATCTTTGACATATGCTCCACCTCATCCTCGAACTAAGGCATTTGTAACTCTCTTCTGAGAAAGATGTACACCACCGTCTTCTCTTGAAATCTCCATACCAAGGATTTTCTTTGCAGCTCCTAAATCCTTCATGTCAAATTCCTTACTCAACAGTTTCTTCAAAGCATTTATCTCTGTAATGTTGTTAGCAGCAATAAGCATATCATCAACA